AAGTGTTAAGCTCAAAATTTCTGTGTACAGTAAAAATACACAGTCACTCCCCTGCCTGAGTACAAGTAACCTCCAGACGTCATGCTGACCACTGTTTAAATAAATATCTCAGGCTATTTGCCCACTTAATTTCTTTGTTTTCTCTCTTCCCAGCGTTGGAGCGCTTGTGGGCCTCTCTATAGCAGCGGTGGTCCTGTTTGCTTTTATCATCACTGTGTGTGTTCTCTGTTACTTGTTTATCAGTACGAAGCCACGCAGCAAACTGGATACTGGCTTAAGCTTACAGGTGGCAGGTAAGACCAGTTGTTACTGACATAACGTTATCTCCTGCAGAGGAAAACCCTTGTTCTGTCTCTGTGGAGAAATCCAACAGACTCTATTTTCTTTCTGATGTGGGTCTCAAGGTGTAGTCAAACTATCGTGTTGTTAAACCTTCTGAATGAAACCTATACCAAACTCAAATGAAATAACACAAGCTCAGTACTTTTTATTTAATTGTAGGAACAGTAAAATTTTGTAATACAAGTGAGGATGCAACAAATAAATCCCATCATCAGGAAGAGACTTACTGAGTTGCTTGCTCCAGATTTCCTGTCCAAGTAAATAAGTATATAGTAAAAATTTCACTCTAGGAATAAGAATCTCAATAAAGGTTTTAAGTACATTTCCTTGAGTCAGGGAGAGATCATCCTCTTTTTCCTTCCTTCCTGCCATAGAACCCTGTCTTTGAAATCTAAGACTCTTTACTTCAGTCCCAGTCGTCCGTACCTTTCTACCCAGACTGTGTTTCAGCATCCAGCACTGGCAGCAGCATGATAAAGCTCCGTGAACACCTGCAGGAGCAATGCATGTACCCACTACTAGCCCACCGGCAGGGGAAAGAACCTGTGGCTGCTTGCTGATGCCGCAACCAATATTTGCAGCTTAGACTTAAGACAACTAAAAACTTCAGGTCTCACCACTTATTCTGAAGAATGCTTTCTTGATGGTCAATTGTATTAGGGCTTTTATTTTTAAGATTATTAGGAAAATTAAAACATACACACACATTAGCCTGTACAATATATAACCCACTAACTGCAAAGGTTACCCTATTGAGTATTAGTCCGAAATTAATGTATATCAGCTGAATACCAATCTGAGAAAGAGCCAAGGAAGCATCAGCATTAGTCGCCATTGCCTTTAATACCATATATATATATGTGTTATAAGACTAGGGACAGAAAAGAAAAGCATCTGCTTTTATTCAGATGTCTAGTCATGGCTGAATTTTTAAATCTGGCTTTAGTTGTTCATCAGTAAAGCTGTAGGAAGTAAAGGTAATGTTCTGTTTGGTCTCTTGTCAGATTATATTTACTTAAGCCTTGTAAATGGAGCTAGTTGAAAAAGGGGACTATTTTATGGGGCGAAAAAAGTGTCCATCTCTTGCTCTCTTCTCCCACCTCAAATTCAAAAAACTTTTTTTTTTAATAATATTTTTACAGTGTTTTCATACCTGCATATAACTGTAGTTATAGCCTATTATATAGCAGTAAGCCCATTCGTGGGTGTCTAATGAACTCAGTCCACTTCGTACTGAACTTCCTACATCTGCTTTTATTCTCCAGAAAATGCAGCCTGTGGTCTAAAAGGAGTTTGTAAAGTAGTAAGGAAATGTAAAGCCTCCCTTGGAACTGCATGAGCTGAACCAGTTGCCAAAGTGAGAGTCACACATTCTGCAAACTGCTACTAATCTGTAAATTGAGAACTTGACACCTGTCCTGGAGATAGAGACAGCGGAAGTAGGACCTGCTGCCTAGAATGGCATAAATAAAGTCCTAGGGGGGGCTGACGAAGTGCCTAGTGACCTTTGACAAGATGATTGTATTCCAATTATAAATTGGCCTTATGCTTTTGAAAATATCGCTGTTTACCTTCTCCCTCAGGTTCTTCTGCTATGGCATCAGCATTTAATCCACCACCAGTACAGTTTTTCTGTTTTTCTCATGTATGGTACGAGATGCCAGCCATGTTTGGCGTATGGGGGCTGGTAAGGAGGCAGGTGCTGTTGCTCCATTGCCATCAAGTGCTTGCTCTCTTTCTCTGCGGACTGGAGCCCTGCTATCCTGCTGTGGCGTTACAGATCCCTCCTCTCTTCCTATCATGAGGTGAACTGCATCGCAAGCTCCCCCACTGATGAGCCAGTGTTATCCTCTCTCTCCTAGTTCCAAGCATTAGGATTCCTGAAAATTGAGAGATCTCTGCTTTGTCTTAACCATCTCCCATGCCTTTTTGAGCTTTATTCAAGCTGCAATGATTTGCATTTAAACACTATTTTGACTTTTCACTTGTCCTATGTTTTTTTCATTTTTATTATTCTGCCTCTTTGGCCGCTCCAAATGACAATTATTTCACGTTTAAATTCTAATAGCTTTAGTGGCTGATGAGGTGGGCTGCTAGAAATTGAAAGCCCGTTCCTGTGTCAGGGTTGAAAGATCTTTGAAAAGGCTGAAGGATTTCATTGACAAGCCTGAATGCTTATCTTTATCATATTTGGGTTTCTTTAGCCTGGAAGTTATGTGAGATTTGAGTCTCTTATGAGATGGCTGGTTAGCTGCTCTCGGGCCAGAGGAACAATGAAAGGAGCATCTCTCCTGCTGTTTTAGGTCTTCTGTCTGAGATCTCAGAGTAATCACATATAGGTAATAAAAATGAATTTAAAGAATAAAAACAATTTTTAGAAGCTTCAGGAAAATGTTAGGCCCCAGGACTGTGTGAATTTTAACTGTGAACGTAGCTCGGTCCTGCTTTTTTTGCTCTAGTTTAGTCTTGCCTTTAGATGATAGCTGTGTCACACATAAGGTGTTGTGCAACGTCAGTACCCCATGGCATTCAGAGAGCGCTCATTTATGAAAGCAATACTTTTATTATATTCAATTTCACCCAACATATATCAGCTCAGTTGGAGTTTTGTATTTCATTAAACCTTTGATTGATTGTTGTATGCCTTTCCTCCCTCATGTAATAGCCAAGAAGTTGGTCACTGTTCTGTGAGCTCATTCAAGATCTCCTAAAAATAGAATTGTGGAATTGTTGAATTTTTACCCAAATAATTCAAAGACCAGTTGCAAATCTAACAATAAGCTGGATGTGCAACTTTAAAGTTTCAGATTCTGCAATTATGCAAGAAGCAGATCAGCTGGAATTTGCCTCATTTTAGTCTTGAGCAATGGTCTTTAATAGCCTGAATACAGGTATTGCATATGGGGTCCCTGAGTTATCAAAGAATGTTAGCCCTAGAGAAAATTAGCATTTTATTCTGAGAACTGAATTTGAGGAAAAAATGAGCTCGTTCTATACTCAACCTACACTGCCGTAGACCAGGAGTCACTGCTTGAATGTTAGTATAGTTCTACTGATATAAACTGTTGTTATTCTTTTCTATTTGTAGTATCAGACTCTGTGCACGTAACAAGAAAATCCTGTGTCTCAAGGAGCTTACAATCCAATTTCTTCTGAGAGATGTGCATCCAGTCTAGTATTTCTTGATGAAAAGGAGCAGCATACTCTATTTACCTCTTTCTATGAAATCCTCTAGTTTTATAGTCAAAATCTCAGATGTTTATACATCGCTTTCTTGCTGTTTGCATTCTGTCTCAATGTGATGTTCGCATAGCATCTTGCCCATGGGTTAGCTGTCTGCCTTACATAAGCATCTAAGTGCTTCACAGTTTTTCCTCAATTTATCCTTGCAGCTACCTCCAAGAAGTAGGGAGACACTATTAGCCCTGTTTTACAAGGAGGCAGAACTGCAGGGAAGTGAAGAGCCATATTTTTAATCATTCATGTGCCAGTTCAGACATTAATGTTCAGTGGAATTTTGAAAAGGCAGTACTAACCAGAACACTTATGTCCTATTGCTTATGATACCTCTAAAACTACGGCTCTAACAGACTAGCTTAAGACACACAGGAATTCTGTGGTACAGAGGATTGAACCATGCTTTTACAGACCAGGCTGAATACTCAATGCATGCTTTTTCTTAATATTTTGAACTTATTTTTTAATTATATACAACTTCCTCAGTAAATTCTTTCAGAGAGGAAAAGATTTTTCATTGAACTCCTGATTGGTGTTTCTGTTCTTCCCATCAGAAGGCTAGAGAACAGTTGCTATAGAAGTCTTTCTCCGTGATAAACAAAGGTCCAGAACAAATCCCTGCCCTGAGAATGCAAAAGTCATGGATATTCCAAAGGGAATTTGATTTTCTGCCTTGTTTTCCTTCTAACCCTGAACTTTTTGTGCATAAGGTTTATTCCCTTTAAAATGCAGGGAACTAGAGTGTCCCTAGATTACCACTGTGTTGTTAAAAGCTTAGTGAAAAATGTTGGAGCCTCTAGGGAAGATGAGGGGGACTTGGATAGTAAAATTGCATAAGTGGCAGGAGAGGAGTAGGATCAGAAAGGTAAACAGGCAAGAGAAGAATTTACAGGGGTATATCTGCTTCTCAGCGCTGGGAGAAGGTGCGCATATGCTTTGCTGCTGGGAGAGGACTGACACTCTGTCCTGCCCTCTAGATGGTGTTACCATCAGAGATGAAAAGGTAGATAGAGCCTCTCCATCCTTGTGTCCAAACAGTTTGTAAACAAACTTGCTCTGGCATGCCCTTGTGTTCCTGCCCGTGTTAGCGTGGGGAGATCTTTTGGGGCAAGATGTCCTATTTGCCTGCAAAGTGAAGACAGCAAATTACATATTTTGATGGGAGCCAACTTTTTCCTTTAAAACTTAGCTTGAGGAACACTTCTGAAATGCATTCAGAGTCAGACAGCAGTGACCCTTGGGATGGAGTGTGAAGAATACTGTGACCTTGTAAATTACTCATAGATCCTGGGGAAAACCTGTTTTAATACAAGAGATTAACTCCTTGTTCTTACAAAGTAGTGATATCATAGTATGCAAATGTTCATAATAAGGAAAAGCTCAGATTGAAAAATAGCCAGCCGACCTTCCTGTCCCTATTTCTCTCCTTAATTAAAGTTCCCTCATGGGGCACTATTCAAATGTACTAAACTGAATTCAGATATGTTGATGAAAAAGCCCCAAACTCTCACGCCTTCTCCTCGTTAACTCGGTAGAATTACCTGTCTCGTTTGGTTTATCATCCAGATAGCTGCCATCTGAATTCTGAGACACTGTGCTTTGTTTTGGAATACACACAGATAGCTTTGCTTGTTAAGGTTTATTATCAGTTTCCATTATACAATCATTCTGCAGCTGACCTTAACTTTTCCACAGTTAGGCTGCCTTTTTCTTTGCTGGCCGTCTGCCTCAGATATTGATATCTGGAAAAAATAGCCACATGGGTTCAACTACTAAAAAAAATTACTAAAAATTACCTCTGGACTGTATTAAAAGAATACACAATTTGTTTCTTTAGGAATTAAAGCAATTTCATACTTTGCAGCTGGGAATTCAAATTTAGTGGAAGGATAGCATTAGCTCAAAGTTCCATCACTAGAAAAGATGAAATTTTGTTCATATTCAACTTAGACTCCTTAGCAATTAAATTTCCCAGACTTCTATTAACGGTGAGTTTCTGCAATTCAAAAACATTCAAACCCTTACTGCAAAGGTACCTGCAGATGCTATAAGCTGGTTTAGATATGGAACACAGAGATAAAAACCAGGCCCCTATCCCTTGAACTGATTAGGAAGTTTTGGATTTTTTTTTTTTTTTTGGATTACAATTGAAATAACTCACTGAAAAGAGTAGATTTCAACTAAGGTTTCGTCTTGGCTCAAGTGTTTTTGTACAATTTTTTTGAAATGCCAAAATATCAAATGAAGTTGTACTCTGAAAAACAGTATTAAAATTGTACTAAGCTTTGAAAACAAGCACTCAGAAGGTTGGAGATGCCAGAACTTAAGGTTTTCTGTGCAGCTCATGAAATGCCTAACTGCAAATTGTTTTATTTTCTCCCATTTTTCTTTCAGTCTGTCTGAAAAACAAGTATGGCATTTCTTTCACGCAAAGAGGTATTGTTAGCATTCGCCCATACAGTGCTTTGGGATCACTGGATGGAAGGTGCTGTGAAGGCAGTAGCGACTGATCATTATAGTGTTTGGGAGGGTGAGAGAGAGTGCTCATCTATTTTTTTGATTATCAGCAGTTTTTCTGCTGATTCTTTTGGGAAACGCACTAATTTTATGTAATGAGTGCTACTTACAGCGCAATGCCGCTACCTTAAACAACTTCTCTTCATTTTGATGTTTATTCCCTTTTAACAGGAGTAAGTTAGTAGTTGCAGCTTTCCACGGGCTCAGGAATGGGAAAGATCTGCACTTCTTGTCTATCCCTTACTCTATAGGTTGTGGAGAAATATTCCAGTAACTATGTATTTCTAGTTCAGTGGGTGCACTTATGTATTTCTGCCTGCAACTAAAAGAAGAAAAATGCTGTTTATTTTACGGAAATGTTTTTGTGTTTCAGGCAGTGAGACTAGACGGAGTTCTGTCTGTTAAAAAGTAGAGGCACTGGATGGATTCTGCTAATACTGTAATGAAATAGGTACTGTGAGAACATTTCTTTTTATCTTACTCTATTGTGTTCCTATACCCTTCACTCTGTTCTGTATGTGATGTGATGTGTAGAGGCATTTTTCAAAAAGCTGAGATTCTTTAAGTGGTTTTTTAGTTTTCTGAAAAGCACTAACAGAGAAGAGTGGGTGATTTCAAGTTACATATTCATGGACTTAATAACTCTGCCTGATTTACCTATTCGTGAATACTCCTTCATAGTGAGACGCTAGGGAAGATTACATTCCCCTGATACTGTTCTCGTCCTTCCCCTGATGCTGTCCAAGATGCACAAGAGCTTACTAAGGAGGCAGCCATTGTAACTTACCATTCAAAAGAAGTTCTTTTGTGATAAACTGGTAGAAAGGTTTCTGTGTGACAAAGGTAAGAGCAGTGAAGTATCTGGTGCACCATTCTGCTTCTTGGGGATGATACATACTATTGCTGAGTCAATTCCGATAGGGAAATGAAGAAGGATATCTTGCAGCAAATGAAGATTTGCATGCTGACTTGATTTTGTGTGGAAATCATGTTTAAAGGTCAAATTCCCTATGGCACAGATCATGCAAAAAGTATTTAAAATGTACTCCAATACAGATGAATTGTACTTCAACCTTGAGAGGAATTTATGAATAATGCAGGCGACTTCATATGGCATGAAACATTCATTTTTCTTTCCACAGGAGGTGAAAGCTCACAGCTAAACAGCCACAGAATGTGAAACTGGCCATAGATCAGCAGTCTGTCACAGAAAGGAAAGTGGGCCTGTTTGCTCAGGAT